ATAGAGACAAAGTGTGAAATGCACAAAAATTTATCAATATCTAGATATACTTTGTAGGTCAAACGGCCGGAATTGTCATTCGGCGTCTTGAAGTTGTTTTTGCTCTTTAATGCTGATTTTTACCCATTGTTGTCGAAATGAGATTCTAAAGTGCATTAAGATACAGAAAGACAAGATCTACAAATACTCATGCTTTTGTTGTTTTAATAAAAAAAAAACTGTAGTAGATAGAGAGAAACTGATAGTTACCAGCAACATTGTAAGTGTAAAAACATAAGAGTGAACCAAGAATATGGGCATTTTAAGCAATTCAGAAATTTAAATAATATGAAAAATAAATAAAATAGTGTTGTATAATTGCCATACCGCACAGGAATCATTTAAAGGCCCCGGGAAGACAAAATTGGAAATAGGTCAAAAGTGAAAATCCAACGTCCTTATTTATATAACAACAACAAAACAAAACAAAAATATAAAAACAAAAACAAAAACAAATTTAGCAGGCAGATTTTCATAGTGCCTTAGACCACTAGGTGTTAGTAGGAGGAGAGATATTTTTAGCTTTCAAAAGCACTAGATGTCTACCCATGTTTTAACGGAAGTTGTTAATCCTCAACAAATTGATTAAAATTCTAGTATTCACTTATCAGGCCGTTGGTTTTTCTCGTATCAATTATTTTACATTATTTACTTGTCGCAGACTTTCATACAATAAGGTATGAATTTGTTCATTGTCGAAGCCCGTACGGAGATATATATTTTTTTTATACTATTCGTTAAATTTCCTTTTCATCTGGTTTTGTCGTATACTAATGATACTTGTATCTTTGTTTTTGGTTTGTTCGTGTAAGTGTTGTCATATAAAGAATCAATCATGCATGTCGATAGAGTGTTGTTCCTCTATATTATGAATGCACAAAAGAATTAACAACATTTGAAGGAGTTAGAAATGCAAAGCCCGATTCTGTGTTAACCAATCAGGTTGAAATACAGATCATATGTCAACGCTTCGCTTAAAAGGATTTGAAGACGTTCCATTCTATTTTCTGTTTTATTGTGGTTTTAACAAAGATATGTAGAGACAAAATATTCGACTGCCATCCCAGGGGCGGATCCATCCATCTGCTCCTGAACTTATTGACACAATTTATTGAAACTATCATATAATGTTAATAAAGTAATCATCTGTTCTACCTGTTGTTTTGTTTCTTCGAGTAATTTGAAGGATTTTGGTATTAATTTGGTCATATCATGGAAGTATTATATTGACAATATAATACTTCCATGGTCATATCATACGGCACGATTCATATTTTAATCCGCTCCTTTTCCTAAACCTCTGATAAAAACCTAATGAAAGTTAAAACCTTCCGAATAATTTTTTGGGGGTTTCCCGCAGCAAATCATAGACTTTGTCGTTGCTTGATTTGGGCGGGGTACCCATTTTAAGATCTGCAACTTCACTTGAACTTTTTATTACAATTTATTGAAACTGTCTGAGATTCTTAACCATATAATGCAAGTTTGCACATCCCATTCTTTTTATACGAATTTTTTTTTTTTTTTTTTTCCTTACCAAATCAAAAGTTTTACCAAGGGCGGTGGTATCATTTTTTACTTTGATAACAAAACCGCTTCTTGTATTTAATTCGTATTGCCAATTTGCAACATACGTCTTTTTTTATTAGCCTGCTCTTAATAATTTAGTAATGCCAAAAATTGAATCGACAAGCGCATGAAAGCATTATTGTGAGGAATGTTTTAAAATGATTGATACAGAAGGGGCAATCAAATACTATATTTTCAATAATAACCGACAACACCATGGCCAAAAAAATAAATAAATAAAACGAACAATTCACAGAATAATACACAGAAAACTAAAGATGGAGTATCATGAAACTCATCGAAAATGTAGGTGAAATAACATATTTCGGAAAACAAATACCGTACGAACTTCAATACTGATCAAAACATATACCGTATAGTAAGCTAGCTAAAAGGGGCCACTGTATGACAAATTTGAAACGATTCAAATTAAAAAATCAACGGCCCAAATTATGTTAAAATTATCATCGAAAAAAAATATTGCAGACAGCAACCAACTACAACCACTGAATTACTGTACAGGCTCCTGTATTAGAACAGACACATACAGAATCTGACGGTGTTAAAAATGGACGTTATCGCCCAGCCCTTCCATTAAAATGGGACGGTGGTGAACAGCACAACATAAAAACAAACTGAAAATGTTAGAAGTGTTTTATTTTTTCTCCATATGGTTTTGATAGTTATGGGTGTTGGTCTCGGCACCCATAAAACAAGTTTTACCAAACCACAGTGTGTGACTCTACCAAGTCAGGTTTTCTATGGCAAAGTGTTGTTCTTTTGTTTTGCTTTTTGTTTCTTAGAACAGTTGGCATGGGTTGGCACAGGTGTCCTGTACAAGGTTTTGGTGATTCCTGTATTATTTTGTATGTATTATTGATATTTGAGACTGTCCTTTATTTGCGATATCCATCCTATTGCATTAATAACAAGAGTGCACACGCTGAAATGTCTCGCCTGCTTTACTTACCATTGATTTTATGTTGGTATTCCTAAATATAAAGTTTTACTACAGTATCACATAAATTAACCTGATCAAAGAAAATGAGGTCAAGGTCAGATAAACTAAGCCAGAAATACATGTACACCTTAAAATCATTCCATGCACCAAATATATTTGGCCTATTGCTTATAGTATACAAAAAACAGATCAAACCATGAAAACTTAACATTGATCAATGAACCATGAAAATGAGTCAAGATCAGATGAACCCTGCCAGACAGACATGTACACCTAACAGTTATTACATGCTTGAAATATAGTTGACCTAATGCATATAATATCTAAGAAACAAACTCAACAAGGAAGACTTAACATTGACCAATGAACCATGAAAATGAGGTCAAGATCAGATGAACCCTGCCAGACAGACATGTACACCTTACAATCACTACATGCTTGAAATATAGTTGACCTAATGCATATAATATCTAAGAAACAAACTCAACAAGGAAAACTTAACATTGACCAATGAACCATGAAAATGAGGTCAAGGTCAGATTATACCTGCCAGACAGACATATACACCTTACAATCAATCCATACACCAAATATTGTTGTCCTATCTCTTATAGTTTAAGAAAACAGACCAAAACACAAAACCTTAGCATTGAACAATTAACCGTAAAATTGAGGTCAAGGTTTTTTTAAAAAAACCTGCCAGACTGACATGAACATAGTAAAATATTTTCATACACCAAATATAGTTGACCTATTGCATACATACAGTATTAGAAAAACAGACCAAAACACAAAAACTTAACTTTAACCGCTAAACCATGAAAATGAGGTTAAGGTCAAATGAGACCTGACAGTTGGACATGTACACCTTACAATCATTCCATACACCAAATATAGTAGACCTATTGCTTATATTATCTGAGATATGGACTTGACCACGAAAAATTAACCTTGTTCACTGATCCATGAAATGAGGTCGAGGGCAAGTGAAAACTGTCTGACAGGCATGAAAACCTTGCAAGGTACGCACATACCAAATATAGTAATCCTATTACTCATAATCAGAGAGAAATTAAGAATACTAGAAATCTTAACTTTAACGAAGTAATTACTGAACAATGAAAATGAGTTCAAGGACAATGGACATATGACAGACGGAAACTTCATATCATAAGGCATATATATACAAAGTATGAAGCATCCAGGTCTTCCACCTTCTGAACTATTAAGCTTTTAAGAAGTTTGTTAACGCCGCTGTCGCCACCGCCGCCGCCGGATCACTATCCCCATGTCTCGCTTTCTGCGACAGAAGTCGCAGGCTCGACAAAAACCTTGAAAAAAACAGAATTTTACAATAAATCGATGTAAGTTAATGTTAAGCCTCTTCTTTCTAAATGTTACAGTTCCTTGACTTACTATGAAATACGAAATTCGAAGTAAATGACACTTGCTAAGAGTTGAATAGTAGGTACATGCATTAGCTTTTGAACTGTACATGTAAATAGTTCATTGAAAGTTGAATTAAAATTTGCAGTAAAAATTGGTCGCAAAAAGGAATAAAAGGTTGCAGAATTTATATACTATAGTCGAAATTATTAACAAAAATTAATCTGTTGCCTAGGTATAAGTCAGTTGCTTAGACAAATTAGAGCTTTGCGGGTCCGGGTCGATGCCTCTAGATCTGCTGGTGGATGTTTTGTCCCCGAGAGAACCGCTCCCCCCCCCCCCCCCCCCCAGTAGCCATCCCACGCTGACATGTAATGATATTAATTGGTATTTATAGGTGCCAACTTTGGTTTCCGCCAAAGCAGTGGTTTCGAAAATAGTCATTTAAAAAGTACACAGGGGTTGTTTTTTTCTCGCTAGGTTGCTGTCTAATTGAACGTATGTCCTGCATCTCCTTTAATTTGTATACACTCGACAGAGAAACTATTCATAATAAATTGAACTAGTGTCTTATGCCAATTTTGCCAATGAACCGTGTGAATTCATTGATGAAATAATTATAAGTGGACATTACTGCTAAACTTTATCTCTCGAAGTCGCTGATCCTATATTTTCCAAAATGATCTAATAATAATGGGGGAAAAAACAAATGACGGGTATGCAAATTTGCTTGCTTGAATTTATATACGGGTATTTTCACCTATCTTCTTACTCTTGTTGCTGATGTGTATGTAGGTTTGCATGTAACGTGTGTAATTTTTGTCCCCTTTCTGTGTTCCATCTGCGCAAATGCTCTGTGCATGCGCTTTATCGTTGACACATTAAAACAGAGTGTACGAAAAAAAATATGTTAACGAGTGCAACTTCTTACTTCTTTTACTAAATAGGGAAATCCGAATAAACACGGTATGACAGTTTCTGGTCAAGCAGTTAGTGTCTTACTCTATTGACTATATATTTTAGTAGTCAAAACATTTCTTGAACGATAGACAACTATTTAGTTTAATAATAACAAGAACAAAGAAGAATCAGATGATGTAAACACAATAGCATAATAAATTATAGTTATGTTACCATATAAACGATATTGTAATTGAACTTGAATTTGATAGCATGAAAATTGCTGATACATGTATATCAAAAACACTAAAAAGTTACTTACGTGTTGGATTGTGAAATGAAAGTACTCAATGCTTATTCAATCGTTCATTATTGACAGCATAATTGTTAATAGTAAGTAATTTACTTCATCCCTAAGATTTTTTCAAATTATTTAAAATTAATCCTGTATAATTTTTTTTTATGTATGATTCCTTTGAAATCATATGAAACAGCAGATAAAAGAGAACAATTTTATAATTTTCTTTATTTTTCGTTTGTTCAGTGTGCTATTTATTATAAGATTTAAAATCTGGATCTGGAATTTTTCATTATAGAAATATATATTTGAGTTCTACATTAACGAGAAAAAAATTCTGACAAATTTTGTTTCTTCAAAGTTAAGAATTAAGGAAATAAATCCTCTTATTTTAATTTTTCTAATTGCTTTTCTTTTATTTGCAAAAAAACGCCTTTCCTAGAACCTCACTGAGGTCTTATAGAACTAACATGAATATTTAAAATATGTTCTTATTTCTTTTTAACTATTCTAACTATTTTGATGTCAGGAAAAATAAGTTTTAATCATTCACAGCATGTAATTTACGTTTCTTATTAAACGTTATATGCACGATTTATTCTAGCTCCTGCATGCCGACCAAATGTTCTTTGGTAAAGATTTGTTCTGTTTATATTTGTGTTGTGTGTTTGTATACTTCTAGTGCTAAATCTTCTAGACGGACCTAAGTTTTTTCTTATTGTCTCAAATCTTCGACGAAAGATTCTTTCGTATTCGTTACTTGTCTGCTCGTCATAATGTGCATAATCCTGATCCGGTTCCTCATCACTTGGATAATCAGGCATATGTTCTTCTGGTGAACTGGGTCGGTCAATACCATTTACCCTTGAATCATAGGATATAGCCGATATACTAGCGGTTTCCTCGTAGTCAACTTCTCGATCTGCACATTGCAAAGCTTCTGTTTCCTTAAGGGCTTGTTTAGCCCACGCTTCTTCTGTTGCTTTTGAAAAAGACCACAGTCGTACACTTGATATTAGATGTAAAAAAGTGCCCCACCTGTGGACAAGCATTCCAATAAACTGCAACAATATAACTAATGCAAACACTACCAAGAAGGTAACCGACAAAGGTTCGTATTCGTTTAAAATGTAGAAATTCTTTAACTGATCCTCGTTGTTCTGAAGTTGGAATACTGCCGTTGCAAACAGAAAATTCATCAATAAGAATCCAAATGCGACATTGTTTCTGAGAGTTTTAAGTTCTTTTTGAATTTCCTCTTTTTTCTGTTTGTCTTCTACAATTGGTTTTAGATACTTGTCAAGGATATCACGCCAAAATTCAGTTTCGTTGTCCTTAATATTTACTTTTTCTTTTAGTCCCAAGTATTCCATCGACTGCCAAGCATCAGGCTCTTGTCTTACTTTTGGACGTCTTGTTGCAGCACGGGGTACAGGTGTCGCTCCCACAGGCGGTAATGGACCCGATTCTATTTCATTATCATGGGTTTGCTCCTCTACTCTTGCTCCCAATATTTGCCTCATAAGCCTTGTTGCTTCTTTCACTAAAGACAAAACGCCTAGTTTCTGCAAACATCTAATTAGTACTGGAGGCTGTGATGATTTGGTAGAGTTTCCAGGCTCCGTTTCCTCAATAACATCGTCTTCCGTTTTCTTTTCACGGGTACCCCACGTCACAACATGAATATTACACATGTAATACACGGTTAGGAAAATAAAAGTGGATGGAACCATAAGGTAATACAGCAAACCATGAACCAGACACATTAACTCCTTTGGATGAGCAAATCCTGCGATTATGAAAATAGATAGTATTTCTACGAAAAATATTACATTTGGACTGTACGACTTTTCTGTTGCGAGATTTACGAATAATCCTACCGTGACGATAACCATTACTAAGGTGTAAACTGTTGAAAGTAGCGCTGCTGCTGCAATTTGTTTGTCATTGCTACATTTCATGCATATGATGGTATACAAAACCACTGGTGTTACAGCGACGACGTATGAATGGAACATATTTATTTTCAGTACAGCATTGAAAGATCCGGTAATCATTAACGTAACCGTTCCGATACCAAGTAAACTTGAAGAAAGAATTACGAATTGGTATAAAACGAACAACGTGCTGATATTATCATTCACTTTCGTTGTTACCCTCCAAGATGATAGCAAGTCAATAATATTTGCAAGAGTTGACGGTGCCCATCGTCGCCTCTGCACGAAAAATTCTTGAAAGGTTTGTGGCGCAAATGTGAAGGCGTCAGCACTAGCAGCGTAATCTATTTTCCAACCCTGTTGTAGCATCAATGTACATAACCATCTGTCTTCACCTGTAAAATTAATGTTAGCAAATGAGAGCTTGATCTTGTTAAGAATGTTGCAAATGAAAAAAGCAAATTAACCAGAAAACTGATATCTCAGCAAGGACCCGCCTGAACGTTTTTGTGTGAGGCACACAAAAAAATAAGTAATACTGGTGCAAACAAAGTAGTTGATGATCATCAGTATTAGTTTTCATAAATTTTGATACATGTGTACCAGAAAGGTAGACAACCAAAATGTTTGCGGAATCAATTTGACATATTATGCCTAAACATCTATTGCAGTTGAAATCTTAGAATTACAAATGATTCTCAAAGTTTGTGATTTTGTTAACAAAAAATAAAGTTTTTGGTTTTTAAAAAATGCTAAGATTTTATTACCAATCCTCTAATTTGCACTTTCTGCAAATTAGACATCAAGAATTTGGGTAAACATGTTTAACCTTTATCATAATTTTTTCGATATTGTAGCAAAATTATGTTTCTCCAAATTTGTGCATTTTTAACAAAATCTTAATTTTTACGACCATTCCCCCAAATGTTACGAGAATTGATTTTTGTCATGTGAAATAAAGTTTGAAGTTATCTATCAATTTTCGATGAAATTCTAGCACACCAAGACATTTCTCAAAATAGGTGATTGCTTTTCACAAAAACTGAGTTTTTAAACACTGCGTTTGTCCAAATTTCACTTAAATAAGAAAGATGGTATTCATAATAATTATGGAATAATAATAATTCTGTAGTTAAAATATTTGTCGTTGAAAGTATTAAACTTTTTTTTACTTTTATCAATGAGACATTTAAGAGGGCTGATCAGAATTTTTGTACCTTGTTCAAACTGGATGAAATGGCGTGCCTCCGTAGGAGGACTTGTATACATTCTCATCACATTATCGTCCATTACAGCAGAAGCCCGAAATAAACTAAAAGCTCCTGGACAACACAGCACACATCCAAACACATGTTCTGTAGCCTTTTGTAGCCAATGTCCGACAGCATATTCAAATTGTTGATACCATACTACAGGCCCTATAGAGAACAGCAATGAATTTAATAATACAACGAAAATCAATATAAGTGTTTGCAATTTTACACCAAACAGCCAATAATCAACATTCATGACATTCAAATTAGAATGTACATGCAAAGTAATTTATTCATAATAATATTTTAAAATGAACTCACAACAATGTTATGATTAGTTGACACCATTCTAAATGAATATCCACCCAATGCCGTCACGTTATTTTTATTTTACAACCAATAAAACTACTCTTATTTTTTAGATTATAAACGGAAAATTCCAGCAACATAACAGCAATACATAAAGATCTTTTTTAAATTTATCCTTGTTTCTTAAGTATGTTTTAGGTATCAAGCAGCTAAAGCCATGCTTACACTAAATATGAGCACACTACCTCCGATATCTACCTATATTAGATACAAAAAGTATCCCAATGTGCAACAATTTGTGACAGGAATATACATTTTTAGGTTAAATAAAACTACGAATTATAGAAACTATTGCACAATAAATTCCCGTTCACTACGAACAAGGTTTGGGGAGAATATACTTGCAGTTTCATTACTACCTATAAAATTTATAGCTGTTCAACATCTAAGAAAAGGTCATGTTTGTTCGGAAACTATTTGATATAGACACCAGAACGACAGGTAATCTTTTGAAAAGGGGTTTACAAAAGTACAAGTAAGAAAAAAGAAATGCAATGTACAAATTACATTTTAAAAGGATTTCTGGGTCATAAACATATATCTTGTGTTTCGAAGGAGCATTCTTTTTTATTTGGTGTTCATATCAATTTTTTTTGGAAACCTTGAGGTGACCTGCTGGTTACTAATGCTTGTAAACAGGAAAACGTGAATAAAAAATTACTTATTAATTCCGTTGCAAGTTATTTTCTTATATGCAATGAAAAAGTTGTATGAAACTTTCACTGTAGTACTGGACAGAATAAAACTTTATTCCTACCAAGTATTTCTTTATTTGAAACAAATGTTAATTCTACACTGTTTTTTTTCTTAAATGCCAATCTAAAAAAGACTAATAGGGGATAAACAATGGTGGTATTACCCCCTAGAAGCCCCAAAATCGAATCCATTCTTTAGGCGTAACAATATTTGATAACGGATATTTTGAATAGTGTTATCAAATATTTTCTAGCCTGTGGTAATTAATTTTGAATGGTATATCATACGATAAGAGCTTTGTAATAATATTCAAAGGAAGTTGATTGAAAAACCAATATCTGCGTACCTGATCCAATAGGATGTATTCGACCACATACAGCGCCAACTTTTTCATTCTTGGTCATTTTGTCTATCAGTTTTTGTACTGCCTCAGGTTTGAAATCTACATCTCCGTCCAAAGCAAGAATGAAACTGTTATGAGCCTAGAACAAAACGATTTTAAATGTCACAAAACATGTATCAGATAAACGAAAAACGCAGTTTCTGAAAGATAAACATTCATTTTATTTTTATTAAGTTTGATAGGATATTTTTTTTTCATCCGAATAAAAATATGTATTTTGTTGCATCTATTCATGCTTAGTAATAGTTTTTTTCGCAAAGATTCTTTTCAAATCGATATATTAAACAAGTGACAGAAATTTAATAAATTCAAAACAAGAGAGAGAGAGAGAAATTGGTTGTGTCGATTGATAGTTGTTACTATAAATCGTACTAACCCTTTTAACTTTGTCTTTGGGCAATTGATTCAGTAACGATGTTATTCGTCGGTAGTGATATCTTTTATTTGTATCCTTCTCCAGTAATTCATCTTCCAAAATAGCGCCGATCATCTTATATCCCAATAAGTAGTACATGTACATGATCTAAAATTGCAATTAAGTAGTATAGTACATAATAATATGGATTAGGAAGTATGATTCTTTAAAATGTACGATACACAGTGATATCTTTTTATTGCATCTCTGAATTCATTCAATACGAAGACCTGTTGTTTTCTGTTGGAATAAACTTTAAACTTTCTTGAACCACAACATATACTATACACACTGAAGCTTCTTGTCTGAAAATGATATCCAACACTAAAATGCTATCAGATATTACGATTTTAAGCTTTTATTTCAATTAATCTAAAACCATCTGAACGTTGAGATTACCATTACGTGGAATGACTGTATTGGCTTATTGAACTGATTCCTGAAAAACCTAAAACCTAAGGTAATGAAACAGTAAACAGGAATTATAGTCATTCTAAATATTTCACCGAACAAACATATCTTCCATTTACGGAAGTTGCTTCAGGATACAGTTGTTCCTGGTATCAATCGACTACCTCAACAATTTTATCGTCATTTTGTGTGTTAGAAAGGTTTACTCGAAATTTTGGAGTTTGTGTGGCTCAATTCTATTTCCGCTGTGGTGTTGTGTCGAATATTGTTTGTCCGTTATGTGTTTTCTTTTTGCCAATGTAACTGTCTGTCCTTTGACTAATTTGCTATTACCACATTGGTATCTTCGATATTTTAATGTATTAAAAGCAGATGAAACCCATTGAATGAATTTACCTGTGACCATCGTTTTCTGTGTCTTATTTTGTCTTTATCTTTCAAATGAATTGTCATTTCTGTTCCCCCTGGCATGGTCCAATTCAATCGTCCCCCATATGGTGTAGTTGTTTTTATTGGCTTATTATCCCATTGCAGACGGCCCCTTGCGACTGATCTGTCATTGAGAGAAAATAAATCTATAAATCATTCCGATCGAATTCGGAATACAATTAAATTTAAGAAGATACAGATATAAAGGATCAAATATGAACGAAAGGTTAGAATATTAAACGTACAAGTCAACGAAACAGCACCAAACACGATAAACCCAAAATTAGAATTAAGAGGGCACCTTACATTCTTTAACTTAAGACAAAAGTCGACTCCAAGCTATCAGTTTTAATCTACAAAGCCAAACTGTCAATGAATTTGATTAACACTCCATAAACCTCCGTTCAACGCAATAATTATGTTTTTTGAAAAGAGAAAAAAGACTTATTATCAAATGCCAACATTGCTTGAGACCTCTTTCATGTGTGTTTACAAATTTGAGAATAATAATCTTTATCTAAAACTATGAAAGGGTTATATCTTAAAGCTTACGTTGATGCCTCTTCCATGCATTCTACCAGCTGTTTTACCCATTCATTTGGTAATCTTTGTCTTGATTTTTTATCAGTTTCAAATGCGTCATCAAAAATCAAATGAACTGAAAAAAATGGTATTTTTAAGGTTACATATAGATTACGTGTATGCAAAATGTACGTTTTAATTTATATATAAGAAAAATACATTAACATAAATGACTTGAATATAAATATTTATTCTATCAAAACAATACTCGTCTTTTTAAAAACGACATACTTACTTTCGTGTTCAAAGTAATCAACATCTACTTTAAACGTTTGCTCTGCTAGCTTATATTTACTCCGGTGAAAATCCAACCTGAAAAAAATAAAGAAAAGTTAGAGCTTCAAAAGGTATTATGACATATCTTTGTTTGAATTTAATAAAATGTTAGATTTTTTTCTTTTTGTTTTGTTTCCACCAAAAAGGAGTTGCATCGTAGAGTGTTGTACCTTCAGGGTAACCTCCCGAATGCACGCCTTCATATGAATACCATGAAACAGAGCAATACACTGAGTCTGATATTTGATGTACTAGCTCTTAAAATTACAGCTTGTAGGATGACGTGTCTATACAACCGACCGATTTAGTTAACTGTGTTGTATTTGTGCAATTCAGTTTTTGTAATGTTCGTCTTTCTTTTAATCAACAACGATCCCGTCTATCATTTGTCCATGAAAACCATTTTTTTCACTTCACACTTCCATATTCGGTCATGTATTACAAACAAAGACTTAACATGTACTAATGGTCTATAAATACTGTAATGTACGGTTGAACAAGACATATACCAGTCCTCTATTGTTCACCAAATATGTTTAATCAAGAGTAACCTGATGAAGGTAAAATAGACATGTTGATTCTTTCAGAGCAAATAGACGTGATCCACGGTTTTTGGTTAGGTTCGTGATGGTCAATCTTTTGTTTTCTGTTTTTCGTATGTAAGTCTTTCCTGCCAAGTATGGCTTTTAATGCCACTTGAAAACTACTTCCTAATTTTGTAAAAAATGCAGAAACAACAAACAATGTATTGAACAAACCTAAATAATGATTTGAGGAGTTGCAACATTTCCTGTCTTGTTTCATGCCACATTGTTCCACATATATAAATATACGGTCTGGCTTTCTTTTTTTTCTTCCTTCGCTCTTCACTTTCCTTACTTTTTCCATTTACAAACAATTCATTTTCGTATGCATTTCCTTTGTTAAAGACAGGTTTGAATTTTGCATGTTTGAGAAGTTGCTGTTCAACAGTATCATCTTTCCTTTTCATCAGCAATCCAAGAGATGAGAAGAAATTATCTCTAATTGGTAATACGAATAACCTTAAGAGAGAAAATGTAGGAAATCAAAAGGAGCGTCAAACGTACAAATATACAATGCATCGTACTACCAAGTAAAGGCAAAAGATAATGACAACTTGATAAGATGACTCATTATTTGGTCTCTGGTTTACTAAATCTGCGTACTTACTAACTTTTAAGGTGAAATTAATGAAATGCATATTTCCTTAGATCTAAAAATACAATGTAGCCATTTACTCTTTGTTCAATAATTTTTCTAGATACAAGTCATTCGTTCGTATAAAAAAACGTATTTAATACCTTTGTTCTCGTTCCATTCTGTGGCACTGTGGAAATAGAACATGCCATGTCAATAATAGAACAGATACCCACAATCCAATACTAGATCCGATCCACATAGATAGACTTTCAATGTCAACACTTGGACAGGAAACAGCATACCCAAACATATTATTGTCCTCTGGCCAATTATAGCAGAATCCTATAACTCCACCAAAACACACAAGTGGCACTAACGCCAATGGAATAAAGAATGATATCCGCTGCATGTGTAATTTGCAAGCAAGTACACCTTCATAGGAAGCGAAAATGGCACAGTAAATATATATGAACATTAACTTATGGTGTTTAAAGATGTTTAAAATCTTGTCAAGAAAAGTGTCATTTAAATTTTCATTTATCGTGCCATGAAAAGTGTCTTTTACATTTTCATTTATCTTGTCAAGAACAGTGTCATTTAAATTTTCATTAATCTCGTCAAGAAAAGTATTATTTAAATTTTCATTTATCTTGTCAAGAAAAGTGTCATTTAAATTTTCATTAATCTTGTCAAGAGAAGTGTCTTTTAAATTTGCGATATCTTCTGTAAATGTCCACTCTATATCTGGCACCAACAATTTAGCCATCAATAAAAATATACCCACTTTTATAATGCACATTTTCAAATTTATTTTTGGTCTTGCTTTGTCCACTGCTATTCTCCAGTCTTTTATTTTTAAGTTGAAGGATCCAATTTTCAAGTTACAAGACAGAAAATTTTGGCAGTATCCCATTGAAATTCCGACTAAACTTGATACGAGACAGATTTTCTCTTGTGTAGTATAATGGATCTGATTTGAAATTGTGTCGCTAAACACTCTGTTCGGTCTAACGATCGCACAAACTACGACTCCACATTGAATTAACATTGCTAATACAGCTATGCTTACACTTGACAGCCGTATTACGAATTTCTGTCTATTCCTTGCTAATGCAATTTGTTTCAAAATGTTCAGAATTGACGGAAGCGTAAATGATGACATGACAAGAGTAATTCCTGATGTCATAGAATGGATACGAAAAACTTTGAACAACAGGTAGGCTGTTCCACACGCCTCTGCACTTTCTAATATTAATACCTATAGATAAACAGATAAATTTAAGATATAATAAAGAACGCTATGAAATTCTATTTTTCATTTACTTGATTTAAGTAAAAATACTTATATTTAAAAACTTTCTAAAACTAAAGGGAAGTGTATGGTATATCTAAAAAGTGTATCACTGTTTAATAATATATTGCTTTTCTTCTAATATACAATTTATTCCCTTGAAAGTCTTTGCAATACTCAATACAAAGACAAATTATAATTAAGTAAAACAAAATAGAGAATTGTTTACAAGGCCCTTATTGTTTCATGTAAATGTCAATCTTTCTAAACCATTATAATATTGGAAGAATGGATGCCAATAGTGTATAATCTTAGACTTAGCATTAACAACATATTTTGCTAAATACTTACTGGTAAAAAGAACTTCCATCCAATGTTTTTTGCTCTCCCAAAACACACTTTAAACATAGACTGTATAAAGGTTAAGGCAATTGGAGTTGAGTAACAAAGAATCAGTTCTGTCAAAGCGTTAGACTTTTGGCCATCCTCCTTTAAAACGTTTTGAATACAATAATGAATATTTATTTATTTAAGAACTAATCACAGCATTTTAGAATCAATTAAACAAACCAAAGATGCATCGTTTGCAACAAAAATGTATAATGTAGTGGGTTTTTTTTATATTTAAAAAACATATTCAGAAAAGTGTATTTCTACTTTCATTTGTTGTCTCATTCCGATAATATCATCCACAAATGTTCGATGCATATTTGATCGTGACATTTTAATTGATTATATATAAATATATATATATTGATAACTTTTAACTTTTAACTTTTAAATTTTTAAATTGTGTTTGTTTATTTGTGTGTCGAACCTAAGCCTCCATCTACCTTTAAGGCAACCTTTAAACCCATTCTATTATCATTGTAATAAGACCAATGTACAATCAATTAAAATTGTGTGCGTGTACAAGTGAGAAGTTTAGAACCAGGTTTAAATCGACATTTTTTACATAAGGAAATGCCTGTACCAAGTCAGGAATATGACAGTTGTTTTCCATTCGTTTGATATGTTTGAGCTTTTGATTTTGCCATATGATAAAGGACTTTCCGTTCATAATTTTCCTTGGAGTTTGGTATTTTTGTTAGTTTACTTTATCAAAGTTTTGGTCTCTTAACTTTTTTGCAACATGAATTTGTCTGTGAAATGTCACTAATATTTATTCCTTACCTTTTCTGATTTCAACTGTGACGCCAGGAGCAGCGGGATTATAATGGTAGCAACACCTTTTGCTGCAATTCCAACTAACAATCCAAAACACATCAAAAAGCGACAGAACTTTAAGAAACATTCTTCCACTTCTACACAGCCTTCGAAATCTCTTTCAGTATTTCTAAATGCATCCCATGCCCTAGGGAGTAAGCGATAACATTCAATGTATGATTTTATCACAAAGGTTCTTATTAGAAATCTAATTTTTCAAAATAATTCCAAGTTTTTCGAATATAAACAATTCTACGACCGTCATATCATCTCTTTATCTGATGTATTCACAACTATGCATTTAAACCTTAGAACACAATGTTTGTTTCTTTAGATTTTTAAATAAACTATGAAAGATTGCTTTTTCGGAATTTAAAATGATAAATGTGATCAGAACCGGAATATAAACATGTGACGTACGTAAATGTATCTGAAACGCATTAGACAGGTGCCGTTTGTCTTCTTTCTTCATCTGTAGTTTTTGTGGGTTTGTTATTTATAATAGCTCACAAAATGTATTTTACTACGTAATCACTATATTTACGGGTTATATTTATGGGTTCTATGATTTTGGTTGACCATACTTTTATGCAACGGGGTTTTTGTGGGTTATTATATAAAGTATTAGACAACATGTACATTGCATACAGTTATCAAACTATTTTTTTATAATTGTTAGCATTAACTTTTAACATATTGAGAAAACATGACACAACTCGAATTTCTTCCCATTTACAAGTGTATGTCACTTAAATATTGTTTAGTCCTTCTATAGACTTTTCCTCGGTTTTGTAACCCACCATCTTTTGTACATAACACTTAAATTTTAACCCTACCATCTCTTATTTTCGTTTCTTTTGTTTTGATTTTCTACATCAATATATGTTGGAGGAAAACTATTCACAGACTGTGTTTCTGGTGTATCATCTTGAATCGTTGTACTAGGAATGTGCTGCATTGGAATATCATCAGTTCTTGTGTAAAGTGTCGTGTTGTTTCGTGAATTTGGTGTGCCAATCGGATCTTTATGTGTTTGCTCTATTTCCCTTTGTCTTGTTTGTTCCCTTTCTCTTTTTTCTCTTTCTTGTTTTATTGTTTGCTCCTCTCTTTTCTATAATTATTATAAATAGTACAATCAGTATATTCAATATAATTAGGATTTATTTTTTGTCGTTATTAATGTAATGTCAACAAATAACCTAAATTCGATCGCCATATGTTTGCATCGTAGACCTTTGCATTTTCTCTTGCTTAAAATAAATAAACTCATCATAGATACCAGAATTGAAATTTTGTACGCCAGACGCGCGTTTCGTCTACAAAAGATTCAACAGTGACGCTCGAATCAAAAAGTGAAAAATGCCAAATAAAGTACAAAGAGAATTGCGGACCCAAAATTCCTAAAAGTTACTGAAGACAATGATACTTTTACAGCAACAGCAACGACTGGTGCATCGTAAATTAATGTATTTTTATATCTTTTTACATTCCCTTTGAATTATGAGTTTTGAATGTTGAAAGCTGCCATAGTAACCTCATTTTGAGATCTTGTCTATACAAATATTAAGATAAGAGCAACACCTTCACCGAAAAAGATTTTTGCTACAATATATATTTTACAAGGTTGTCAATGTATGTAAAACATCATTTTGAGTACAGCTGTTGCTTGTAATTATTGTATCAAACAAAAATAAGCATGAAATGGCCATTTAAGATCAATTTGTAAATTATTTCGACATGGTAATGACGTTATAGTGACATTACAAGTGATCTCTATTCACTAAAGTGTCCAGATTTTTTAGAAGGTTTGAGTTCGTTTATTAGTTCTATTATTTCAAGGACCAAATAATGTCTCTTATCTTACCTCCTCTTTTCTGCTAATCATAGAGATTGAAAATAAAGCCTCTTTCCCTTACACTTTGGTCAAGGGAAATTTGGTTGCTGGCGTTTGTCCTTATGTATAAATATTTTATATTTTAAGACATGGTTACCAATTCAACATTGTAATTAGATCTTTGAATATTGTTTTTGTATGTATAAATATTGATTTTGTTATCAGTATATTAAAATCATACTAAATAGTTTTGTTATACACATATATCCACTTTAACGGTACTACAATCTGTCGATACCTTTATTTTGGCATTGCACAAGGTCATGTTTTTCTCTGACTGCTAATGACGTCTTTACACTAAATCCATTGGATGTTGGATGTGTACTGATTGTTATTTTAGTCTTAGATACATGATTTTTTATTAGTTGCTATTGGCTTTGAACTAACTGTCAGAAACTGCGAGTACTCTCAGATCTGTACCTAATGTCCTTTTTGTTGTTAGGGATGAGGGATGGATACATACCCTGCCACGTCCGGTCTGTGTTTATGTTTGATGTTTTTCTGCTTTGTATCGATCTGATGAGTTAAGCCTTTTACAACTGGTTTTGATAGTTTGTTCTTATGTTGTGCTGTTACACCACTGTCCCAGTTTGGGGGAAGGGTTGAGCGCTCACAAACATGTTTAACCCCGCCACATTCTTTATGTGCCTGTCCAAAGTCAGGATCCTGTAGTTCAGTGGATGTCGTTGGTTCATGTCTGTCATATTTGTTTTTCGTTAATTGTTTTGTTATAGATTAGGCCGTTAGTTTTCTCAATTGAATTGTTTCATATTTTTCATGTCGGGGCCTTTTTAAGCCGACTATACGGTATGGGTTTTTCTCATTGTTGATGGCCGTACCGTTGTCTATGACTGCACACATCCTATTTATTTGAATCTTGGTGGATAGTTGTCTCATTGGCAATCATACCTCATCTCCTTATTTTTATATTGTTTGTTGTTTTTTTTTTACCTTATTTAACATCTGAAAAATTCATTATGTTTTGACCTACGTATGTATGTATTTACAAGATTTATATTCTAAGAATTGTCACATAACGATTTGTTTATCCTTTCAGTGTGATTTGCTGTTAAATGATCAGTTTTCTTGTGAATTTTAAACGACGATAAAAGACCGGATACTAATTTTCTGTAATTCAGTATGATTTTAATTTCTCAATTTAACATTTATATATATATATTTGATGTGGCGGCATGGTAATTAACATTATCATTCTTTACGACAGAAAATAGCTGATCTGAAAGGTACACCATCTACTATCCACTATACATCATGTACAGTGTTACAACCCTAGATAAAGCCGACGGGGAAAGGCATAACATCGACCACCGAAAGCTAAATTTTTATGTACCCTTAGGTGGTCGAGTGGTCTAGGGTGCTGGACACGGTGCAGGCGGTGTTGCCACGATGTCATAGAAGCAAGGGTTCGAATCCCGCTCAGGAAAAAAACAAAAATTTGCTAAAGCTAATTTGAAGATCTAACATTTTGGGCTAAATTTGAGACGAGTTATATATATATATATTGTTTATATTTTTGTCTCGTCATATACAAACCTGTATCAGTTCCGTCTTTTCCTTGATAAGTTTTTCTACGACGTGTCCTTTCATAAACACCTAAACGAAAAACATTATCTGCAATTAACATGTATTTTAGGTTCTTTGCTTTTCAAGAAATTGTCAGGATTCAAATATTGCCTATCTATATTGTGTTTCATTTAAAATTTCAGAGTTCAAAACGCATACTGTTCAATGAATATTTCTCATAGAATCAGTTGTCCATTAACGAACACCAACTTAATGAATGTGTATGCAATGCATTTAGTTAGACAAACGGTAAGCATTTGCTTACTAAATATGGCTTAACTGAGCGATTGTTTTTTTAATTAGAATATGGATGTTGCTTTATTAAAGATATCTTTAAAAAGTGAATAAGAATATACATTATGTTTTTAAATATTTTCGTTAGCTCATCTTGTATAATTACCTTTGTTCGACCTATTTTATAAGAGTCTTTGTCCAGTTTACAAGCCTGTAATATATTTTCTATTGTTTGTTTCTTGTTTGTACCTTCTGGTATTATGGCACAATCTCGAAAAACTTGACACCTATAATATAGGTTAACAATATAATAGTACTTAAATCTTTTTGGTAACGATGCTGCTAGTCTTTTTATAAAATTGGACAATTCATATTGGTTAATCTAAATTGTCTGGATAAGTAGTTTGTTGGTAGAATTATTGGCAATAACAAATTTAATTGAAAATGAATCAGCAACTAGCATGATCTATGAAAACTCCATGGCATTTGGATAAAACAAATCATGGTAATCATCTAAACATCAGAGCGTATTTTTCTGGTGTGTCTTTTATCTATCATCCGTACTATCTATGATTTAGATAAGGTAGGAATGAGAAGATGAATCTATTTATTGCTGCACAATATATTGAAGTAATTTTTCTCGCAATCTCTTGGTGCTTTGCTTATATCCTTCTTTTGCCTTATTTCTATCATAGTTTTTATAATCGCTTTTTGCAGTAACATTGAATTTTTCTCCTTCTCGGTGCATAATAGATAATGGGAAAATGCTACAATTTGAATGATGATTCTTTACTATTGACATTTATAAACGTTCATACGAGAAGCTGTTTCAAAACAGGCAAACTATATAAACAGTATGTTTTTTGTATGGTTTACATTATCAATTTTTACATGGAATTGTATTATATTTCCATCAATAGAAAATATAATTTTAAGATACTATTTTACATTTTTTGGTGAACCTACATTTTCAGGAATTTGTCAAACTGCATCCTACTTTGAAATCCATCTCTTCTTATTCTGGTAACATCGTCTATACCGGCACTTTGCAGCTGATTTAATACAACCTTTTCATCGAAATAATTAGGCTGTTGATTGTCATTTGATTTGATACATCTGCAAATACGAACATGTTCAAATATAAGTATTTAGATATTTTCTAAATCGAAAGTATAAAAATGAACGCTCTCCATTGACTCTGTAACAACTTAAAAACCTAACATTAATTTATTAAAGTTTAAAATTGAAAAAATGCCTATATTAATCTATGTTTTATATAACCATTTTGATAAGAAAAATGCAAATTTCGAAGCTTCATGATAAGAACGATTTCGAATTTACATGCATTTACGATAAACAATTCATATCAACAAGGAATCATTAACATTAAATAAAAAGTGTATCATATAATATAAACTACAAAAATAGTTTACCTGACAAAAAGTGGCCTAGAATCGGCTAAGATGTCAACGAGGCAAGCCAATGATGTCTAAAATAGACCCAAAAAGTAAGATAAAAGACATTTCTTTTAAAATATACATATTTGTCTTTTTCTTTTGGACGCATTAATGTTTAAATCATAGCATTCTTCGAATATATTTAACAATATCTGGGGGAAACATTTTAATGGTCAAATAACTGTAAATTAGATTAAGAAATTAACATAAATAAAATTTTCAATTGCATAATTAACAAACATATTTGTCAAAAGCAGTAGGGTAAATAAATTAATTCAAAGAGATCTACGCAAGTAATTTTATCAATTAATCAGAACATTCTTACCCTGTATTGGGAGGCTGCACTGTTTGTTGATCTTGACTGCTGTCTATCGTCAGATTTTTTCACAGTTTTATTGTATCTGAAAATTTAATAACTTAGTTAGTGAGAAATACTTCAGAAATTAAAAAATAATTATAGAATCCTATTTCAGAGTTCATTAAACTATTTCAATCTCTATAATTGTGCAATCAATTTATTTTTTCTTTAACATTTAAAACTAAATGGTTGACCGAGACACAGAAATATGGTCATCCAACCCAGCAGTTAAACTCAAGATAAAGAGTGGCGTCTGTCTGACTGTATTGGACATATAAAAAGCAAGTTCGGTCGGAATATGATGTTTCATGAAGGGAGAATGCCATGCTCTCTACATGTGAAACATCATTTTCAACAACCTTTTCAATGGTGCGTTGGTCGGTGTCCTGTTGCAAAATAAAGTGTCTGATGCTATTCTGAATACTCTCATTTTCGAGTTTCAGCCTTTCATTCTGGTTGACCCACATTTCAGAACTTACTTATGTGATGCATTGCTTATCTTTTGGTGACCTTTATATGTATAAAATTTTTACTACTGAACTTTATGTAAACGTAAACCTTCAATCTATCAATCTCTGATATGTGCCTCTAATCTCTTTTTATTCACAATAAGAAATACAAATTTGATAGTTCAAAACATCTGGTTTGATATTTATAGGCGAAATGGTTATTACAGAACATATTGTGTCATATTTCTTTGCGAACAGTTAACATACATGTATCTTTGTAAATACAAATAAAGAAAAGAAAATACGGTACTGGATATAATATCAAATTAACAATTATTTTTTAGCATTACCATTGAGCAAATAGTGACATCTAAAACATACCTTTCGCCAATTTCTCTGGCCTGTCTCTTTGACATAATTTCTCTGGAGGAACCCCTGCAAAAATTGTTTTAACAATATAATTATTTGAGAAGCTCTTTACAAATTGTATTATTTTTTATTGAATTTCTTGAAATCCATTATGCTAAAAAAAAAATAGAACAAAAATGAAAACTAAGTCATCTTATTCTTTACCGCATAAAATTTATGCTTTAGGTTCTGGTTCTGTCGTGTTTCAATCTAAAACTTAACTGACATTCACATAGTTTTCATTAGTGTATACATACCGGTGAGTCAAAAACGAGTCTTGTGCGTCAAAATATTCACTGACAATATAGTAATCACTACTTTCTGTAAAAATTTCCTTTATCCTTTCTGGAACAGTTCCTCTATTCTTCTCTAGAAATTCTCTAGTGCTATATTTCACCTATTTGGTAAAAATAAAAGTTTTACAAGACGTCCAACTCATAATTAGTGTTATCCGTGACCAAACTGTAATGACAACCTACCATTTAACTGTATTATGCATTGATTTAGTACTTGGCATACCTTTTTTTATCAAACCCAAGTACCAAGAACACCAGACGATATAAGACAAGTACGTGGTTCTGGGAAGAATATATACATTTTGTATAATTACTAATATAATAGACGCAGTTAATGAAATTGATAGTCTATGACAAAAATATAAAAACTATATTTCGAGGGAAATGCCATAACTTTTCCGTCTTTTCTAATTACAATTGTCCACACTTTTTTGTCGTGCCTGACGATTTTATGAACCAATATTGTTTACTTTACAAGTCGATTTAAGTTTCTTTCCAGTTTACCTGGTTTCACTTTTTTTAAGAGTTCGCGTGACTCCCTCAGATTTTGTTTGTTACGTAGTTTTATATATTCTTAATCGACTTAAGAGATTTGAACATCGGTAAATTACTGTTGCCTAAATTCATATAGAGTTTACTACACATCTTAATTGCTGCTGATTGTGGTATTTTTGCCACATCGAGACATCTTTTATCTTATTTTCAATGGTTGATACAGATTTGGGCGTGCATGTGACGGACACAAACACCATTTTAAAGCTATGATATAAAGGGTTGTCGGCATGTGTCAATATAATCAAGCTGATACAATGGTAACAGAACAAATATTTTGTTAACATTCAATAATTCCAATAACTCCAAAAACTTATTATTTTCTATAGGATCACATTTTTTATTTGTCCTGATTCTACATAAAAATATAAATATTTTCAACGACAACACATATTTCTCTTTAAAATTTGCAACCACTAACGAGAGATTACATATAATGGAAAAAATACCTGTCCAGCATAATGAACAATGTAGAATGACATATTATGTCCAGTCGACTGGTAAACAGCATATTTGTCTCTAAATTGTGTATCATATTGTGCCACGAGCGAAGACCCATCAGAATTGGAAACTTTAATTTGGTCATCCAAAAGAGACAGTACTCCTGGTTTCTATAATGCAAAAAAAAATGAAAATGAGAACCAAAACGAGCTGCAATAGTATTTTAAGTATTTGAAAATGCAGCTTACAATCAACAAGCAATGATTATAATTATTGATATTCAGTTACTTCACTAAGAACTACACAATGAAAAGTACCTTATAATCGAGGACACAACATTTTTATTAATAGTAAAACTGTTATTTTAATACCATTTTCTAGTATTTGCAGATGTTATACATAAGTTTCACTTAACTTAAATATGAGACTTATCATACAAACATGTATATTAATAATGCATTTAAAATGGCTATTGGAACATGTTTTAACTCTAGGCTCTCTCCCTTTAACCAGACAGAACTTCAATTAACAAACGCATTTGGAATTGGTAGTTGAGCATGTTTCAAATCTGGGTTATCTCCCGTCTACCTGACAGAATGCCAATCAACAAATACATTTGGGATTGGTAATTGTGCATGTTTCAAATCTAGTTTAACTCCCGTCTACTTGATAGAATGTCAAATAACAAATGCATTTGGAATGAGTAATTGAGCATGTTTCAACCATAGGTTATCTCCCGCCTACCTGACAGAATGTTAATTAACAAATACATTTGGAGTATGTTATTGAGCATGTTTCATAATTGGGTTATCTCCCGTCTACCTGACATAAGGTCAATTAACAAATGCATTTGGAATGGGTAATTTAGCATGTTTACCTGACAAAATGTGATCTGATTAGAGAAAATTTTTCTTTTTTAGCCATGGCGTTGTCAGTCTATTTTCGACGTACGAGCTTGAATGTCCCTTTGGTATCCGTCGCCTCTCTTTTACAGTTGTCCTTTCATTATATGCATGTCTGAGAGTTCCATTTTTAAGTTAAGTAGAACTTATGGTAACTTCTCTGGACTTCTTATGTGTTGGTAAATGTTTATATAGTTATGGAATGACAAATGCCACATTCGTCAGAATATTATTTTTTAAATTGAGATGCCTACAAAGGTATTTTCTTCCTTAAAGCAAAAACTTATATGCAATTCAAACAAGGGGCATCTCAAATACCCAAGGGATGTTTAAGAAAAATGTTTCAAACATTCAAAAGTATATGTTAGCCGTTTTCATTCACTTTAAAGATACATTTTGCAACTTAAGGTACACAGTAATATTTAAGTAATATTCACGAAATCTTTTGTTTAGGGGAAAGGAAGAGGTAATGTTTTCCTTCTATTAAATTGCATAAAAACATCAGTTATTAAGCAGAACCCTCCCAAATACCAATCTAAGGATCTTTACTTCTTTTAAACAATATTCTGGTATTTACCTTTATTTTTCAGAAGGTAGTGAAAAGATATATCATATGTGTAGAAGGAAAAATGTTCAAGTAGCAGTAGCTAAATAATTAAATTTACTGATACGTAAAAATAGGAATAAATACTTAAATAGTAAATAACTTACACCAAATATAAGTTCAAGAACTGATGTGTTATCATTGAAAGTGTTCGCTGGCAGCTGTATCCCTTCGTTGTTATACTCTTTGTTTTCTATTTCAAATATCTGTTGTTGGTGATATTGATGTATTCTTTCATTGGTGATATTAATTAACAACTGTTCCAAGCTGTTTTCTGAAACACTCTCAAATCCGCTGATATCGAGGATTCCAATGACTTTTTGACTGACAAAACATTATGGAAACAACTGTTGTATTGCATTGAATTGATAATGACCTAATTATAACTAAGGTATTTTTGAATTCTAATTTTAACAAATTGCAATATTAATTACCAAATATTTGAACTTGAAGCCCATTTCATTACAGCAGTACTACTTATGTGATTTTTTTCTCTCCAATCATACTTAACTCAAATACGTCTCTACAATAATATCAAGTTTCAAAAATTACCATGGGATTTGTCTTATTATAGTTATGATTCTACATTTGAAATAAAAAAAGTATTTTGATTAATAAATACCTTGTCTTAGTTGAAGACGTACTGCCTTCGATACTCTTGTTTATTTGATCAATAATAGCTTTAAAAACTCCTGAATACAATGCTTTTACAATAGAATCTCTCACATCAGCAGCTTGAATCTGGTTCAACGGTTTCCGAGTAGTCTGACCTATTGAAAAAAGTAAAATCACAAAAATACTGAACTCCAAAGAAAATTCAAAAAGGAAAATCCCTAATCAAATGGCAAAATCAAAAGCTCAAACACATCAAACGAATGGATAACAACTGTCATATTCCTGACTTGGTACAGGCATTTTCTTATGTAGAAAATGGTGGATTGAACCTGGTTTTATAGCTAGCTAAACCTCTCACTTGTATGACAGTCGCATCAAATTCCATTATTTTGACAACGATGCGTGAACAAAACAAACAGACACAATAGGTAAAAATGTCCAAAATAGGGGTGCAGCAGTCAACATTGTGTTATCATCATTGTGTTATTGATAAAAAGTGCAGTGAAATAATTCTCGTCATTTTTGTAGACTGTTTTTATTTTTGGTCTTTTATTTGTTTTTCGTTTTTAACCGTGGTATTGTCTGTTTTTTTCACTTATGATTTGTTCTTGTGCCTTTGGTATCTTCTTCATTTTTTGTCAATGTCTGAATTTCCTTTGTTGAGTAGAATATTCTTTGTGTGTAATCTAGTATTCTTTTCTCATTTTATAAGGACTCTAACTTGTTTTACGTTAAACAAATAAGTCAACATACCTTGAACACATATAGGTCGACTTATAAAAACTTCATTGATATCATCGCAGTTGTCATCTTCTATTCCTAGTAACTTGATTGCTAAAAATATAAGTAAATGTAAGCTTTCTTAATGAAATAACACATAGTCTATACTTTACACAAGTATTCCCCATTCCAAACTGAAAGACAAATTGAAAGAGTTGGTATTACTTTGTTTCATTAAAAAGAATGGCGAACGTAGAATCAAGTATCTTCTCTGGGGGAGGGATAAAATCTACTTTGTAAAGAATCACTCTGATTCAAACAAAAAATTTTCTGAAACTGACATTATCAAGATGCTTGATTTCTTGATTGACAACATATTTGTTACGTTTGGAGGACGTGTTTTTCAACAGACTGTCGGAATTCCAATGGGAACCAATTGTGCACCTCTTCTTGCCGACTTATTTCTTTATTATTATGAGGCTGACTTCATACAGGAACTTCTTAGGAAGAAAGATAAGAAGTTAGCAACGTCCTTTAACTCTACGTTATATAGATGATGTTCTCTCACTAAATAATACAAAATTTGGTGACTATGTTGAACGAATCTATCCCATCGAACTAGAGATAAAGGATACTACAGATACAGTTAAGTCTGCCTCATATCTTGACTTACATCTAGAAATTGACAATAAGGGTCGGTTGAAAACAAAACATTACGACAAAAGAGATGATTTCAGCTTCCCAATTGTGAACTTTCCATTTCTATGTAGCAATATTCCAGCAGCGCCTGTATACGGAGTATATATCTCCCAATTGATACGATATTCCCGGGCTTGTGTTTCCTATCATGATTTCCTTGATAGAGGATTGCTGCTCACAAGGAAGCTATTAAACCAAGAGTTCCAAATGGTGAAGTTGAAATCATCCCTTCGTAAATTTTACGGACGCCATCACGAGTTGGTTGACCGTTATGGAATAACCGTTTCAAAGATGATATCGGATATGTTCCTTATGTCGTAACTACAATACCCTTCCCTTTTCACGAATGTGACTTACCGAATTAGACTATTTACCGGATTTCTAATAACATAAGCAACACGACGGTTGCCACACGTGGAGCAGGATCTGCTTACCCTTCCGGAGCACCTGAGATCACCCTCAGTTTTTGGTGGGGTTCGTGTTGCTTAGTCTTTAGTTTTCTATGTTGTGTCATCTGTACTATTATTTGTCTGTTTGTCTTTTTATTTTTGGCCATGGCGTTGTCAGTTTGTTTTCGATTTATGAGTTTGACTGTCCCTTTGGTATCTTTCGTCCCTCTTCTACAGTTCTAATATTTGTCTTGTAGATTGTTTTATTGTATTTCATGTTAAGTTAAATGTTCCTTTCAATGATTGGAACTTAAACCACATATCTCTCAAAATTGTTTTTCCATGAACTCAGTCATACAAGTTATCATTTTTTAATATACCAATTTCTCATTTTGATGTTGCTTATCTTAATATCAGAGTGTATATTTTCTGCTTACCGTATCGCAAGGAGTCATCATCCCGAATTGCAACACCATCCGTTTCATCCCCAACATCATCAAACTCAATATTACCAAGGTGTAAGCAAGCTGCTAGAATACTCAGGATTTCAGATATTTCCTAAATGAATACAAATGATAAGATGAATACAAGATGTGCGATATACTTTTAAAGAGACGACAATCAAACCACATAAATAACTTAAAGAGACCTAGAGGTCAAAAGGCATTTTTCAACAGTAGACGTATATACCATATGCTTAGCTCAAAATTACTCGAGTCAAAGTACTTGTGAATATTAATTAAACAGGTACTATCAAAGATCTGTCTTCAACGGCAAATGCTACAAATGATAAAATCATTAAATTATCATTAAAACCAACAGAAAGACCTCACTTCGTGGTACAGGCACGAACAAGTGGCTGTTGAAATCTCCCCTTTTTAAATCTTGATCAGTAGACTCACAAAAGGTATATATAATTTATATGTAAATTTTTTTATATTCAATAAGTTTATATAATTTATTTCTTATGTTTCAGTTATTTTTTGCTTTCTTTTTATTTTACTTATTCAGTGGGACAGTAATGTATTGCACTTAAATATGTCGTTTTAAAAGTATTTCCATCTGGTATAATATTAAAGTTCATAATACCGTTTCCGTAAATTCGATTTCTTTTAAGATTTTACAGCCTTGAGAGTAACTATTTCCATATTTCTGTTTTTCTTCTTGACTCCCAAATATACCAGTGTGTAAATGTAGCATCTCTTCATCTTCACGCATAATTCTATTAAAACACGGAAAACTATTATAAATGAAGAAAACAAATATGAAAAGCCCCATCGTATCCAATACATTATAAAATGTGCAATCTGACGCAAATATTTAGGAAACCGAATTTATTGGTTTACTACACATATATAAATAGTACTTAAACATGACAAAGTTGCAGTGCCGACTTAATGAGAACAACTGAAACAAAACTGAACTGCACATATAGCTTCAAAACATAATACATTGACAATTTAGATTTACACTGGGGATTATCATCATAAAAAAAATTATTACTATGTAAAATTCATGATACTTCAAGATCGTCATAGTTGAATTTAAATTGTTATATCAGGTACCTGTATTCATTTGGTCTTTCCAATGAATATTTTTCTTGTAAGTCATGTTCATAATTTCCACTGAACAAGGCATGAAATATGTGGAAATTTTTCTCCTGAGCTTTATGGTGAACTACTCGGGATTTCTCTAACACAAATGTTCTCAGTTTACCTGCAATAAATGATGTAATTTACATATATATCATTATATGTAAATGCATATATCCGTATTTAAATCTTCAATGAATGGGTGGATGTAAGAAGAGAATTTTATCAAGTTTATTGTTATGTAATAAGTTGCAGTGACTTGCATGAAACAATGTATTTCCGGAAACCACTGCACTTTATTTCTTTTTTTAACTACAGAGGAAAAACACAAAATAACCGATATACTACCCGATCTTGTAAATAATACAACAAGTAACACAATGAGTTGATTGTACACGTTTGAAAAGAAAATAGATATAAAAAAAAATCTCACCTCCAATTAATTTGTCGTCTTCATTATATGACAGTTCTATTAGTTTCCCAAACCGGCTAGAATTGTTGTTTAGTAGTGTTCTAGCATTTCCAAAAAGTTCTATTAAAGGATTGACCTATTTAAAATAATAGTTTAGCTATATTGAAACCATATGTACGAAATATTTTTTTCATAAATACACACCATACTAAAACAAGTCGTAGAATCATCATTCACAAGATATAATTTACGTATACATTACATGAAATTCGATGTATTAATAAAATTCTTTTGCAACTTTACTTTTCCTGTATTATAGGTTATATCTTACATTAGTTTTGATATATCATTTGATAAAATTTTTTGAATTTAAAACTTATACTTATGTTTGATATATCAAAACTTTTTAATCAATGTTTACGAAAAACTAAATAAACATATACATGTAGGCTGATTTCAAAGGTATCTAATAAACATGAAAAGTAAAACACTTGTGTAATAAATTTATCATTTCACCAAAAATAGCATAAAGTGTCCATAATAAACTAACATGATTAAGCTTCTCGACTAATCTGGTGATTTCACATGGAGATCTTTTGGTAAGATGTTGCAATATATGTTTAGTACTTTCAGTTTTTCCTGCTCCCGAGTCACCAGTCACAACGATGCATTGATTTCTCTGTTCGACCTTTAGACGTCTGTATGATTGCTCTGCTGTCCAGAAAATATGTGGCGGATCTCGGGCTGCTTGTTGATAATAAACATGTTGCTATAAAAGATGAAGGTAGCATGCCAATTCAGTTGAAAAACACCATAACTCAACGGACGAATCTAAGTCACAGTAATATCAAATACGCCGACCGGATAAGCAAATCCTGCTATTTCAAAATCATATTCACATTACAGAAAAAAAAGAAACTAATAAGAAAAAAGCAAAGTAGGAATTTATTCTGACAAATAGGGTTTAAACGGCTGTTGACTAACAAAAAGCACTTTTTTACATTTTTACATTTATTGTTTGATTTTGTTTTGTTATTGATGTTTTTAATTTGTTTTTTTAGAACTTTTAACGGAGAAAAATACTCACCTCAGCATTATATAAATTTTGGATTTTTTCATAAGGATTGACTACAATTAAAACATCTCCAATGTACGTCTGAAACATAAATAGATGTTACATGTATAATTCCAAGTATCTTAATCTTCCTTTATTAAATGATTGTAAATGTTAATAGTTCTATATTATATAGAAGTTAGGTATTACCATTTCAATAACAATCATTTCAGTTTTCGCTCATTTTGACTAATTGAAATTGTGGTTATTTCAAACAGATTTTAAGCCTAGTACCTTCTGCTAGCTATTATTCGTGTGTTTCTTTGTCCTATATGTTCTCCCATTTATTTGTATTGTGGTCCTGTCATGTGATGCTATCGTTTTGGTGTTGTGTTTGACGTTGCCATAAAAGCGGGAGGTTTGGCATGCCACAAACCAGGTTCAACCCACCATTTTTTTCTTAAAATGTCCTGTACCAAGTCAGGAAAATGGACATTGTTATATTATAGTTCGTTTCTGTGTGTGTTACATTTTAATGTTGTGTTTTTGTTGTGTCGTTCTTCTCCTCTTATATTTGATGCGTTTCCCTCAGTTTTAGTTTGTTACCCGGATTTGTTTTCATCTCTATCGATTTATGAGTTTCGAACAGCGGTATACTACTGTTGCCTTTATTGAGCGTTTTCGAAAAGTTGTGTATAAGTATACAAGTGCAAATATTTGATTTTAATGTTTTGTTTAAACCAAGCCTATACTGTATTGATTTTTGCACACACAAAAACCACGTGTAAATTAGAAATGTCAGCATTTGCGAATATATATGATGATTATTAAGATCAATCATAAAGTTAGTGTTTTAAAACTCAATTCATATGTCAGGGTCTAACATTCACACCGTAATCACATAATTACATGAGTATTTCATTATCAAGCCTTTCAAGAATATTCCCCGTTGCAATGCAAATATCACATAAATCTTTATCTCGTATTCAACCCGAAAATTGTATTTGTAATTGTTGTCTTAGATAAAAATGAAAATCATTGAATATTGTAATTAGTTAGAACGTATTTCATTTTCTAGTTCATTTGAATCAGCTTTAAAGATCGTGGGGTCCTTTAAATAGATTGGTAGGTCTTTTAAACTTATATGCAATATTCGATAATAATCTATTACTGTATGTCAAAGATTGCGTTAGTGCATATTTGATTACCTTAAATAATAATAGGTCAAGGAAAAGCAAGATTATGTTACGTTTTTGATTGTTTAGATATATAGACTTCGATCACAGAAAATTATGCATGACGGTGACTTGTTGACAAGTTTTTTTATAAGTGTTATTCCTTTGATTTGTATGAAGTTACATATTGAAAAAAGGGGTCATATTTTTTAAATTGTGGGCTATCAACTTTAAAATGTACAGAAGATTTTTAGCTTTTGTTCCATTTGAATTTTAACGTAATGCAAGAATTTTTAGAATATTCTTGCATTACGGAAAACAGTGTCATTTCAATATATAAGAAAACGTTTTGGTTTTCCAAAAATAATATCATACAGTTCATTTCATATGAAAATTTTCTTGGAACAATAGAAAATAATTCTATTTATAAAAGAATTCATATTTCATTATCAAAAACATAATGTGATTATCGCTTCCAACACGCGCTTTTAATAAATACTATATGAAAGTGGTGCATGTCATAATGAATGAAATACTTAAATAAATTGTAAACAATGAACTAAAATAGTCTTCTAAAGTACCTATGGTGTTAACTTTACTTAATTGTGGCCTAAGCTGGTTTAATTCAAAATAAACAATTTAAATTATCAAAACGGCTACTGGTACTTCACAGTACCGGATACCTGCAAAATTGTTAAAGTTTTGTTGACAACTCAGATTATCCACTGTCATATCATTTATTTGAGAACAAGATAAATAGTTATTGAATAGTGCGTACTTTTCTTTCCTCTTATGTTAACCTAGATGTCGATGTGTGACCAATATCTATAATTTCATGTCATTATTTAAATTATCATATTATGTTACAACGTGGCTCTTTTTGTATAAATTGTGACATTTCATATTGATATATGTAGTTGACACAAATTATAAATGGTCAGTTACTAGTATATTCAAATTGTCAGATATCTATTTTTAATTTATTATTAACGAAAACAAATAAAATTAATGCAAATGATGAACAAAAACATCTTATTAATGAACTCTTTAACAAAATGAATAAAGATAATTAAGGTCCGTTAAAGTCAAGTGTAAACAATAACAATTAACATCATATCGAAAATAAATTAAAAAAAATGCAAGCAGTGATTTTTAAATGAAGAAGAAATTCATTGATTCCTGTCGTCGAATGACAATATTAAAAGCAGTAATTTCATGCGAATTACAAGTATCCCCTTTCTTATCAAACATATTTCTAAAAACAAAAAGACTTCTGATAAAACATACAGACACGCTTTCATCAATTATATCAAGATTTAGTTTTAGAATATATATTAACATGAAATATAAAACTGTTACTGACAGAGATCTCAAAAACTATTAAAATACAAAAGCTATTCTGCAGGTTAAAGATCAAAATCATCTACCATGCGAATGAAAAATTAGTAAAAATTCGGTATATAGAATAGGACACAATCGGAAAATTAACACATCAGACTGACTATTCTAATATCTTAAAATCTAAGTGCACGATTGATATTTTGTCCGACTTTGGTCAATCTGAATGTCGTTTGAACGATTGGGCATAGATAGCATGAAATATAGTTTTTACTCATTTTTTCAAATATGTATATTATATAAAAAAAAATGTTTCTTTTTTTTAATAAAGAACTTCATTTTGAAAAGTGTAAAAGTTTTATCAACAAACTGAAATTCAACGATTCTACTGATATTTTTTCAATATAATAGTTTAAAGACTCAGCTTAAGCGATGTCAGTTCAAACGCTTTAAGAATATTGCAATGACATTTATATGTAATATCAACTTGTCAGTTGTTATGCCATGTTGCTAATGGCAAGCAATATTTCGTTAAATCGCATGTCATTAACCAGGAAAGGAGGACGAGAACTAGAATATATATGTGGTCATCTTTGACACAGGCAACCAAATTATGATGGCATCAGCTAAATTTTCCAAACAGATGGAATCTTCCGATTAATAGTTCCATTGTAGCTGACAATCAAGGAAATCATTAGAAACACAATCCCTAGAATATTGTTTCAAATGGGAGTTGTGTACTAAAACTGATGCTGCTGTAAAATTGCTACGTAAAAATGAAGTTGACAAAAGTAATATTGAAATTATCTCTTTTGTCGTTAACTTTTGTAATCAACCGACCCATTTTCAATCTATAGACGAAAGACAATATAAGACGCAGACCTAACAGTGTCTTTGGTATCAACTATTTCATGACCAAAGGTACATGTGCACTCAACATAGTCCCTAAACGTTGAATTACTTTGTGAGAGGACATCGTTTTATGAGGATTTTAAATTTGATGCATGCCTTTTTGTGCTTCTTCGTTACATTTATCTGCAGAAACAAAGTAGTTTTTGAAAGACATGTGTTGGGGATGGGATACTTGGTTAGTTTAAACTTGAACCTTTTGTATATTTAAAAACGGGAAATTTTAAATTGGTTATCTTGTAGACCAAACCAGCAACATCTTTAAAATACACTTTTTTTAAATTGACCTCAGAACAAAATAGAAATAAACTTATAGTTTAACTATTTTGTCAAAGACAAAAGAAATGAGGTAGAAAAAAGGGTCCACTTAACCACGTTATACATGTACATAGGAACTAATTAAAGGAATAACAGAGCTTAATCAGATAGCTGTTCTTAATCAAATCAGTTCCCGGGAGGTCTTCTATGACCTACCATACACCAAGATGAAGGTAATCCTATAGCTAGCTCCGATATTAAGGATACTTTTGAAGTTCATGCAATGCCTTCCGCTTTTCCTTGTAACCTAGATTTGTCTTCCTAATCGATTTACCTGATTTGAACATCGGGAAACTACTGCCGCCTTAATTAACCATGTAAAAACCCGAATAATTACTTTTTCATGGCCTAATTCTGTTTGAGATTCAACATTACAATTTAATACGACGGCTACTGGTCCTTAATGTTAACATATTCCGTCCTTGATCCGTTATGACCCACGGAAACGTAAATAAATGTTGACCACTGTGATTATCTACTGCCATATCAATATTTACCTCAGTCACATTAATAATTCTTTTATGTGTGTTTACTTTGATTGTGATCAATATTTGTACATTTCGTATAATTATCATAATTGACATATAAGGTTTCAACACGGCACCCTTTAATCATTTTTAAAATTTAATGACTGCTATTATAGCAAAATTGTTATATCTATATCTTTATATTCATTTCAACAGGTATACTCAATGCCAATATAAACGCAACCCCTACATGTATTTTCTAATTAATAAATATTCTAATCAATAGATCTTCGTTTGCACTTGACTAATTGTTCTAAGATTTTGAAGAATTTTTAGGATATGCATAGAGAAAAAGTTCCATCAATTTCAGACCTTCTTGATTTTTAGAGATTTTAAAGTTTACAAATTCCACATGTTTATCAAAATCAATGAAATTTACTTTTTAAATGACAAATTTCAACCACAATGAACCCCTAGAAAGGTAATCAATTACTAATTTTCCTTTGCATTTGGTCCAGTGTGATCACATTTGGGTGAAATTTTCATTTGGGTGAAATTTTGTAAATTTGGATTTTGACCCTTATAGGTCTAATCTCAAGTTTCGGAAATGAAAAATGGTTTATTCGAAACAGTTAAATAAACAAGTAGTAATATCTTGTTATTCAAAACGGGACCAAAGGAGAATTTGAATATGATGTTTTTCGTTTCTATAGGTACTGAGTATATATATATATCTACATTAGTGATTGCAACTTTCTATTTGTTTAAAGAGACAACGTTACAAAAGCAGTATCATAAATCTTTTTCAACACGATTTTTTTTATTTTGACCTACCGATATAGCATTGTTCTAAATAAGCGTAATGAAGTTAGCAATGCCAATTTTTTATGATCTTATTTTACTAACTTACTAACTGTTTTCTGTCGTCAATTACGACAATCTCACGCGAGCCTTTATATACATATCATAATTATCAAATACGGAAATCCTATCAATTCAACGTTGAACAAATTATTAGAGGTAACCCAAAACTCTTACATTATTGGGTATCTATTGAAATGTATACTTATTTCACATGGTTACTTTTGATGTGTTAAAGATATCTTTTATTATTATTTTTGTCGTCTCTTTATTCACTCTCGGTAGTTACACACTTTAAAATCTCAAGAAATATACAAATTTGTTTCATGTATAGTACGTAAAGCTAACGTTGATTTATTTCAAAAATCAAAACCATGTAATATGAATTCAACATTAACAAATATGTCTACTACTGTGACAGAGTGTTATTCTAATTTTTCATCATCATTTATAATTCTAGCATACTGAAGTTTTGAAGTTTCTTATGGAATGTTAATGACACCAAAACATTTATATACATAAAGCTGACATATTTGCTAACATAAATGGGTGAAGACATATCCAACTACAACTTACTTTTTTCTAATTAGTTTTACTCTTGTGTACCAAGCAATTCAGTCGTACTCATCTCCCAATTATTTGCCTTACAAAGATACATTTTTTGCATTCCAATTAAACCTATATTTGAAACCTCATATTACTTAAATCTGTAATTCAACATTTAAAACACCCAGTTGGTACTGACAGAAACATTTGAAGTGTTTAAAAGTCTTGCCAGAGAACTTGGCAAAGTTCCACTGCTAATAACTTAGATGCATGTGTCAATAAAGTAGCCACAATTCAATATTGAAACTGAAAATGAACATTTACATGCAACCCCTCAAATAATTCAAATGGGTCAACATTTTTTTTTCAATACATTCAATCTGTTTAATATATTTATTTGAAAATTTGGATTTTGTTAGAGTCTGCTTTACAATGTAAAGAACCCACATCATATAACAAGCTGTTAAGGAGAAACTGTTATCTAAGACATTTATTTTAACCGGAAAATGGAAAAAAGTAAAAAATTCAATTGCATCAAATTTATTAGATGTATTCATTAATGAAAAAGAAAACATAATCTAGAAACCTCAGTGTTGTGATGTAATTATCATATAACTTGCTAAATTGATATTTACCTAAAATTACATTTCAAAAGATAGTTTTTATCGAGTTACACATGAGTCACAGATTATCCAATAATATATGTTATCAACATCAACATTTTGGTATCAGGCATCATGAGGTATAGTATTTTGTTGTGCGTACGGTTTAGGGTAATATGCAAATTTTAAAGACTAAATTTCAAAATGAATCTATTTTTGCAGTTTTGCACTAAATGAAAGAAGCTTTAACCCCTAAAACAAATGTGTAAGACAAAATTCTGAAACATAAATACTGAAATCTGAGACCATTGACTTCTCATGATCATTCATGAAATTGAAATAAAAGAATGCACGATACCTTTTGATTTTGAGTTCAAAGGGTTAATTAATAGTTCAAAACATAAAGTGGCTTAAAATATCATCTTGAGGCTTTATACTTCCGTATCTGCGAAGGATCTATGGAAACCTTTCGATGTGTATTCTTCATAAACTGTTATCGTTTATTAGCTGTCTCTTTTGCGTTTATCTTTCATTTTTTTCGCTCGCAGATTTTTAAATTTTTTCATCATAATGCGGAAAATATAAACAATTCTCGAAAAGGTTCTACACTGAGAAATCGAAAATCGTATAAAATTATAATTATAGGCATTTTATGTGTATCTAAAAGTCTTGTATCAGGAGATATATTTAGTTTTTGTGGTGCTTTATTTCACAATATTATTATATTGAAGGTTAAGTGTTCTTAATTTATATGATTTAGTTGACAATAAATTATCTACCAAAACTAAATTGTGAGTTATAATCACCTTTGCTTATTCGGCATTTTCATTCAATATTTTTCATAAGGTCATCACTTAAAGGTATAATACATTAAAATATGAATATAATATTCGGTAACTCTATTTTATTTACTACTACTTGTGAAATTACATCATTCGTTGCTTTGGATGAACAAAGTATAATCATCGGATGAATATCTTTAAAAAATCAACATCCGTTAAAAAAAGCCTACACTACTAGTAATCAAGGATCCCGTAAAACAATGTTATATATGAATAAAACGAAAACTTTAAATGAGACAGGAAACCAACAATACCCTCAAATATCAATTTGAATGTCCAAATACATTGTACGATCATCAACAGCAGGTATATAATGCAAAACGTTAAGTTCTGAATCGTCCTGAGTATATATGCAATTTACAAATAGTATTAAGGATCTCACATCGAAACCCAATCTCCTACATGTCCAAATGAAAAATATTAACGTATGACTAAAGACAAGCACTCGTGAATTTTTATTATTTTGGAAAGGTATCTTTTCGTAGATGATATGATATGACTTTAAACATCCTTGCAATAGGTTATGTATAAAAGTAACTTGCACATACATATATTCGGCCTTTATAGAAACTGTCTTTCAGGTGTTGGAGTATCTCCTGGTTGTCTAAGTTCAAAAGTTTGGCTAGATCACTGACACTGCCTTCATTTGACGACATTTTCATGCGAAGAAACTATAAGCATTTATTTTCACATATGGAAGATCTGAAAAAGAAATCAACTTAGGATTAGTACATTAATCTGTACGAAAAATGTTTTTTTTTTGTTTTGCAATAATCCTTCCCCGATAAGTTTTGTGTTAAACTTTTTCAAAACCTTGACCGTCAATTTTTTGCCATGTGTTTTACATAACGCTGTTAATAAGCTGGTCTGTATCGTGAAGAAAAATGTTTCATTGATACAACTTTGTGGCTAAATATTAATCATAGTATTTCACCAACTGTGAATTTTTATTTCCATTGTATCGTTTTCGCAGAATGGCTTCAAAATCAAAAACAACACAACATGAAATTATAAAATAACTTTTTACAAATATTGGCATCATGATATATCTGCTTCCGAATAATCTTTTCTCATTTATAAAAAATGTTTAAATGATAGAAAGAATATGGTGTTTTCTCAATCAAGCCTAATTATATGTTGATAAAAATTAGTTAAAGCAAGAAGAAAAAATTGTTAAATTTTGTTGTAAAATTTAACATCTTCATTACCGTATATTATCGTGTACATCCAGTTGGCAATCTTCCTATACGAAGTAATATTATGCTGATTGACTTAACTTATATCTACTGGTTTCAAAACTCCCACTTTTGCTATGTATTGTAGATATTACGGAGAAAAAGTTTAAATATAGGTATCCGACGCATACAATTAAAACAACACGTTTAAAACGGTTTTTCTTGATTGGTTGAGATAACAGAGTCTTGCTTGATTAAATAACACATTATCTAATTTGTCTATAGATAAAAGGCATAAAAACTGTTAAAATAACTACATTGCAATATTAAGATTATTGTCAATCTCTTTGTAAGACTTACGCTAAATGAATCATAATGATACATACTACAACATGTTAAAGTTTTAAAATCAGTATCGCATTATCACAAAAAAGATATGTTCCTAAATATGTAAAGAAAATAGAAACTAAAAACTCTAACCTCTTCATTTCCCATACTTTCAATATCTCTTCTTTTTCTAATCCGTTTCAGTCGAATTTATTTCAATAAAGATATTTGATGGGTAAATATAACACGGTATTTCGATTTGTATCTATTTACACATTATATAATCCAAGTAATGCTTACTTTACGTACTGCATAAGAAGTTTAAAATTTATGTTAATATCTCTGTCAGAATTAAAGATACAACAGCTTAAAATCTGAAAGAAGTAGCGCTTTGAATAAAAAAAAAATCATTTATTGTGCATTTGGAATGAATATGCATAAAATAACTAATGATTTGATTAGTAGTGTAAAACTTACTTTTTAGAATACTTTGCTATATCATGGCATAGGTACTTGGGGAGAGGACAATTGTTTTTTTAGCCCCTCCACCTTTTTTTCCAAAATCCGCTATTTTTTGGTTTTCTGTCAATTTCAATTATTTTCGCGTTTTTTCTGAGTTATATAAACATGAATATACTATAAATAACTTGTATTCGCTACTAGTGTTTACTATCAATTCCAAGTTTACTATCCACAGCGGTCATTGATATATTATATAGAGAGAAGGTATCTCACTTCGTACCTTATGACCTATTTTCCAAGTTTAATTCATAAAATATTTAATGTCCCTCGGGTCAGTGGGCATGATTCGTTTCCGCTATCATTCTTCTTTTTAAGCAGTCGGCACTTTTAATGAAATTCGACTTGTGTCGGTTGAACGGATCAATTTTGCTCGTCGAGTCGTCGCATTTTGATTCTTAAATGACGGAAGTATTGTATGGGCGACAACTCTTATTCCGCGCTAAATCTGGTTCCCTGTAATAAAATGTCCCGAATGTTATTGTACAGCACGATAAAGTACGAGAGTTCATCATCGTTGCTGTATATTAGTATGCGGTTTTTATTGTTGACTTTTTTCTTCTCTCAAGTCATTTGTTTGATTGACGAAATAAATTTATATAGGATTCACTGTAAATGTTATCACATGTAAGTTCAGTACTTCTTAATACACATAAACCACGTTTCTCCAACAAAAAATCATTTTATCCTTACAAAAAATATCAAATGTTGGAGAAACGTGAAGACACCGTTTGCGGGCCATCGAAGCCCTCATAAAAGGTGTTTTGGTGAATGTGTCAATGCGACAAAAATCTAATAAAACACACACACACACACATTAAAAAAAATTCGTAGCACCGCTCTATTGCTAACTTATAAGGGGTTTTCTATGGAACGCCACAGGTGTCTTATGTGGAACTCTGATATGACGTTATGTTGTTTTATAATTACTTGATGATATTTTGTCTTTACATAATATGGTTTTGACATTACGTAATGATGTTTTGATATAACTCAATATGGAATAGTCATTACTTAATGATATTTCGATATTACACGATATGGTTTCGTATTGACTTGATATAGTTTTGTCATTCCTTAATATGGTTTTGTCATTACTCGATGTGGTTTCACCATTATTTGATGTGGTTGTGTCATTAGGCAAAGTGGTTTTAACATTACTTGATGTGTATGTGACTTAACGTAATGTATTTGTTTCATTACATGATGTGGTTTTATTATTTCTTAATGATGATTTGCCAATTCTTTATATGGCTTTAACATTACGTAATGATGTTTCAAAATTTGACGATTTTACACTACATGATGTGTTTGTTTCAGTATTTGATGTGGTCCTGTCATTCTTTGATGTTGTTATCACATTACTTGATGAGGTAAAACCACGTGACCAATTTGGAAAAAACTAGTTCTATTTTTAATATATTTCCATGTTTTATGTGCCTTGGACGAGTGTGGCCATCCATCGAGTTAGAGTTCAAATTAAGGTTCGGGTTACTGTTCGAGTTGAACTTTGAGTTAGTCTTCGATTTCGAGTTAGAATTCAAGCCATTATTAGAATTAAAGTTCTAGTTAGCATTGAGTTTCGAGTTGAACTTCGAGTTTGAGTCACATTTAAAGGTAGAGTTCTAGTTACAATTCGACTTCAACTTTGAATTTGAGTCACCTTTTGAGGTAGAGTTTGAGTTAGACTCGAATTTGAGTCTCATATAGATTACGATTTCGAGTTGAACTTCGAGTTATCTAATATGAGTTCGTATTTAAATTTTCTATCGCGGATCAAGGGCTTTTGCTCGTGCTTCCGAAAAGAGGGCGCAGGGGTATGCGTACAACAGATAATTATAAACAATGTTACAGTATACAAAACACAACATAGAAATTGAAATAAAGTTAGATGTGGTGTGATTGCCAATGAGACAACTATCCATCAGAGTTTAAATGCAGTGGATGTAAGCAATCATAGGCAACCGTACAGCCTTCAACACACCGTATAGTAGGCTACAAAAGGCCACCACGTGAAAATGTGAACGATTCAAACGAGAAAACTAACGGTCTAATTTATAACTAAACAATCCACGAAAAACAAATATGACACACATGAAACAACGACAACCATTGAACTACAGGCTCCTGACTTGGGGCAGGCACATAAAGAAAGTGCACGTGGCGGAATTTAACATGTATGTGAGCGCTAAACCCTAACCTAACCTCGGACTGTCGTGTAATAGCACAGCATAAGAAACAAGTGTAAAACAACAGTTTCAATTGGCTTAAACCAATAGATCGGCATGAATGGGTTATATAAATCCATCGGGGTGATCTCGGGTGCTCCGGAAGGCACGTGTGGCACCCGTCGTGTTATTCGTGAAGGTAAAAACCCAGTGATTTGGTTTCATTTGGTAGTTCACATTCGAGGAAAAGATGACGGGATTGTGGTTACGACAACTGGAACATATCCGTCGTCACCTGTGAAACAGATATTCCAAAAAGTTTGTTTTTTTCAATTAGTGCGAGGTATATCAGACAATGCAATTTATAAAAATAAAAGATCGATATTAGTTTATGTTCAAATGATCATACACGCTAAATAAAATTCGGAGAATTCTTATTTTATAGAATTGATGCTTTGTCGCTTAGTCCGATCCCCCCCCCCCCCCCCCCCCCATTTCCCTGTAACTTTAGTGTGAGTTTATTTAAAGTGTCTCATTTGTTGACAATAAAGTACAAGTCTTTTGATTTGTGTCGAGCCTGCGACATTAATGTAGCGGCAGTGAGACACACCAAACCTATATTCCGTCATCGGTGGTGGCGTCGGCGTCTTCATCATTTAGATTGTTAGGTTTCTCGTTTGAATTGTTTTTACATTATTCATTTCGGGACCGTTTATTGCTTACTATGTGGTATGGGTTTTGTTCATTGTTGAAGACCATACAGTCATATATAGTTCGTAACTTCTACGTCATTTGGTTTGTTGTTGAGAGTTTTCTAATTGGCAATCATACCACATTTTCTTATTTTCATATATAGTTTTTTTGCATTAAATATTACCGAATTAAACTGTTTTGACATGATAAATTTGTAAAAACCTACATGAATTGTTATAAAACTTGTATAGGAGTTATTCTTCAAGATCAAGATAAAGCATCTACAGAAAAAAAAATTTAAATTTTGTTTTTACCAATAAATGTACCGATAAATGCACAGTCAACATTACGCTTTTACACTGACAGCAGCAATATCAGGCGAAACTCAGGGTTACGTGGAATCTTTTACGAATTTATTATAATACTGCTTCCATTTGAGAACTAGGGGGAAAAACGGTAGGAGCAAGTGGTTTGGGGATATTCCCTTTATGTCCGAAATACTGTTAATTTTTTAGTACTTTTTTTCTTAGTTTTGTCTGCCATTCCCCTTTTTCATACCAAATAACTCTGAATAACAACTCGAACTTTAATTTGAACTTTAACTCAATGGATAGCGATACTCACCCAAAGCACATCAAACAAATGACATATGGAAATAGGTTAAAAAATAGAACATATTTTTTTCCGAAATGGTCACGTGGTTTTACCTCATCAAGTAATGTGATAACAACATCAAAGAATGACAGGACCACATCAAATACTGAAACAAACACATCATGTAGTGTAAGATCGTCAAATTTTGAAACATCATTACGTAATG